AACAATTTTAATTCCCAGTTTTAGCTTGCTGGAAGAGATTAGGATTAGATGAAGATTCTCCTCTGATGTCAGAATTTTCTACCTCTGCAGTTGTTGTTTCCATCATTCATCAGCATCATGTTCAAGTCAGCATTCCCACAACAACTGAGAAATCAGCTGTGTGAGGCATTGCCGGTAGTCCTATCACCACAATTGAGCCCAACATTTCTGTCACTAAGAAAGTCGGTTGTTAAGTGAGTTTTGTCCCATTTTACAACCTTTCTTCCCATAGTTGTTAAGTGAAACATTGCAGTTGTTAAATTAGTAGCACGGCTGTTAGGTGAACCTGTCAGAGTATGAATATTCATGGGCTGGACTAGATCAGCCAATGGGGACCGAATGGAGACATGGTAACAAGGTCAGCCAATGAACAGGCACGGTAACAGGCTCAGCCAATGAGGCTTATTTGGAAACAGAAACTTAAGTCTGAAGTCTGGGCGTGGCTTAGACAACTGAGTCTGTGCAGAAGCATAACTGCCCTGCATAGAGGAGGCTCTCTTTGTATTGACCCTGACTAGGTGGCTCAGTGGCTAAGACACTGACCTTATCGATCAGAAAGGTCAGCAGTTCGGCGGGTTCGAATCCCTAATACAGGTCTCCTGCGTGAGCAGGGGGTTGGACTAGATGACCTCCAAGGTCCCTTCCAACTTTGTTACTGTTACCTGTATTAAGCTCTGAGCTCTGAAGTTGCAAACAAATGTGAACTTGTCTGCTGATCTGAGCTGAAATGAAACTGTTCTCTGCTGTTGGTATTGTATATATATATTCTTGTATATAAAGAAGTTCCTTATTTAAATCAATCCTGCTGAATCAGTTTACCTGTGTGAGTTTTCTCAATTTAATTTCTACTGCAAACTCTGATAGAACCTGGCTTCCCCATTGACTTTGCTTGCCAGAAAGTCGCAAAAAGTGATCACATCACACACACACACACACACACACACACACACGTGTGGGACACTGCAACCATCACAAATACGAATCACTTGCCAAGCGTCCGAATTTTGATCACATGACCATGGAGATGCTGTAACAATCAGGTGAAAAATGGTCATAATTCACTTTTTTCAGTGCCGCCGTAACTTTGAACTAAACCGTTGTAAGTCAAGGACTACCTGTAACAAGTTTTATGAACATGGAAGTATGGGAAGGAACAAATCGAGAGAAATGGGATTGGTCCATTTGGAGACCCAGAAATGAATGAAAATGGTGAGTTTTGGCGAGGGGAAAAGTGGTACACTTGGTTGAAAGATAGAAAAGGGAAAAAAGATTAGGAAGTAATTGGAGTGACCTAATATAGGGATAGGAACACAAACCACCAATGCAGGTTAACATTGAATTATAAAGATAGATATAAGAGAATAGACCAAAACAAGGAGGAATCAAAAGCACAAATAAGAACATAGATGACAGTTGCGACAACTTTGATAAAATGTATATTGAATTTTTGTTTACATGTTCTGTATGTTTTGTTGTTACTTGTTTTGTTTTGTTTGTATTTTTAAATAAATAAAATTTATTAAAAAAAATAAAAAAAGAAAGAAAATGTTTTGATTCAAACCTGTGGGTAAAAAATATCTCTATGCATGCATCCACTTGCAAAAGGAATATGGAAATGAAAGCATACTTACGGAAAAAAAGAATACAAGGATGATGAGAAGTTCTGAATGTCAAAAAAAAAAATTTTTTTTTTCAAGTGTCAAGAATGAATAATGGGATGTGGACATGGAAGAAAAAGAAAGTGAAAGAAACAATAGTAAAACTGGAATGACAGCAAAAAGAAAAAAGAAAGGGTGATTCGCAGATTAATCTCTGAACATAAATGAAAGAGAATGTAATGGTATGTTTGCACCTGCTTTGATATAGGGAAGTGAGAACTAACCAGGTCAGGAGACATATAAAAATGAGTTGATTGCCATGGTAATGGAGTTCTTAAAAAGTGTGCATGGTAAAAAAAAAGAGATAGGGCAAGAGTGAATGGGTGCTGGAATGAATGAATGAATGAATGAATGAATGAATGAATGAATGAATGAATACGTAAGTGGTATAAAAGTGGAAGTTTTATGGTGTGGGAGTAGGAATGGATTTCCAGAGAAAAAAATTGCAGACTACAGGAACCAGGAGCACTTACTCAGGTGACCCTGAGAAACAGATAAACCTCCAAGTGCTTCAACAACCTTCTAAAAGGATGCAAATGACCATTGCAAGGAATATAAATCCTTCCATTCCCCACTATCCTGTCAGAGCTGAAGAAGCTTCTTGGATGAGAAGCAAAACGTCTTCAAAGAAAAAAACAAGAAAGTCCAGTTGCCTCCTGAAAAAGCACCTTTGGGATAACCATGACCTGAATGACTGAGAATCTCTACAGACATTTAGCTATACAATTTGGGACAAACACCCTTTGAATGGTGTAGGAGTAGGAATGGATTTCCAGAGGAAAAAAACTGTAGGCTACAGGAACCAGAAGCACTACTCAGGTGACCCTGAAACCTCCAAGTGCTTCAATGACCCTCTAAAAGGATGCAAATGACCAGCCGTCTGCAAGGAATATAAATCCTTCCATTCCCCACTATCCTGTCAGAGCTGAAGAAGCTTCTTGGTTGAGAAGCAAAATGTCTTCAAAGAAAAAACAAGAAAGTCCGATTACCTCCTGAAAAAGCAGCTTTGGGACAACCATGACCTGGATGACTGAGAATCTCAACAGACTAGTATAAAAGAAAAGTTTTGATTCTATAAAATAGGGTTGGGCAACTATGGCTGGTTTACAACCTGTGGACTTCAACTCCCACAATTCCTGAACCAGCCAGGAATGCTGGGAGTTGAATTCCTGAGCCAGAATGCTGAATGTTGGCTCAGGAATTCTGGGAGTTGAAGTCCACTGGTCGTAAAGAACCCATCACTGCCCACCACTGCTATAGACAGAATGAGTGAACATCGAATCACAAAACAAATAGATGAAAAAAGATTAAATGTGCTAAGAGGAAGGAGAACATTGAGAAAACTCTCAATGTGGTTGGATGTTGTGAATGAGATCCACAAAAGATAGTGATAAGGAAGGTAAGCAGTGGTGGGATTCAAATAATTTAACAACCGGTTCTCTGCCATAATGATCAGCTGGGTAACGCGGCTTGGTGGTCATGTGACCATGAGGGCGTGGCCAACTCAACGTCACTCACGTTGATGGGCGCTTTGCATTAGCTGTTACAATGTAACAAGGGTTAACCATAGAGGCAGTTTCTGTAAGCAGGGCAATAAAGATTAGGCTAGAAACAATACCAGAATGTTTCCTTCCTGCCGTCCTTACAGGATTAGCCCTGTAAAGTGGGAAAAAACAAAATAAGATTTCTTCCAACAACTGGTTCTCCAAACTGCTTAGAAAGCTAACAACCAGTTCTCCCGAATAGGTGCGAACTGGCTGAATCGCACCACTGAAGGTAAGGTATAATCCAGGGTGTAGGTGTGGCAAATACATTGAGATGAAGGTATGGAGAATATAGTGAGTTATGTTGGTGTAAAATAGTTTCACCTACATTTCTGTTTCTTTTTCTTATCTCAGGCCTTGAGCTTCATTTTTCTCTTTCTCTAGCCTTTGCTTATTTTGAAAAAAAAATAATATGGTCAATTTATATGTATATGAATGCTAGTTTGGTTTAGCAGTTAAGGAGCCAGATTAGTTCTGCCTCTGGTGCATAAGGCAACTGGATAACCGTGGGCTGATCCTTCTCTTTCAGCCCTAAGAAAAAGAAAGCAAGGGCAAGCAATTTTTCAACTGTGGCTTGGAAAACCTCATGGATCTGTCTGTGTGGTTGCCATAAATCACATCTTTGGAGGTTGTGTCTTTGTGAGGAGAGGAGTGGAGTGGAGTGAAGTGGAGTTGATGAGAGGAGAGGGAGAAAGAAAAAGAAAGGAAGGGAAGGGAAGGGAAGGGAAGGGAAGGAAAAGAAAGGAAAGGAAAGTAAAGGAAAGGAAAGGAAAGGAAAGGAAAGGAAAGGAAAGGAAAGGAAAGGAAAGAAGGAAAGGAAAGAAGGAAAGGAAAGGAAAGGAAGAAATGTAGAGGCAGAGGTAGATCTTTGAGACTTCATGGTTTCCTTTGCTCTTATGGTTACTTTAGAGCAGTGATGGTGAACCTTTCCGGCACTGAGTGCCAAAAAGGGAGCGTGCACGCATGCTTGTCTGGGTTGTAACCCGGAAGCATCCGGGTGGGTGGGCGGAGCCTCCTGCCACCACGGCTACCGGTTTGCCCGATTCAGGGCGAACCGGTAGCAACCCACCACTGGTGCATGCCTGAAAATGAACTTCCAGTTCATTTAGTCTTCTGGGTTTCTGGCACACATGTGCGCTCAATGATCAACTGGCCGGTGCATATGATCACACAGGAAAACAGAAGACCAGCTCTTCCAGTTTCCAATACTGCCACACGCACGAAGGCCAGCTGATCGTCCACACGCATGTGTGCCAGAAACCCAGAAGAGGAAAGGGTGATGCTGCGCATGCCAGGCAACATAGCTCTGTGTGCCACTTTGGGCACGCGTGCCATAGATTCGCCATAACGGCTTTAGAGGTCTTGAAAACTAGATAGATAGATGAGAGTAGAGAGAGGGAAGGAAGGAGGGAGGGAGGGAGGTGGAGAGATGGTAGATGAAGTAGATCACAAGAGAAAGCAAACTTGATAGAATTAGTGATGCAGAAGTCAGTATGCCTTGTTGTATAATGGAGACACACAGCTTCCGACAATGAGAACAAAGATGCCAGGTCCCAATCGTATCCTATTTTTTAATTTCCTTTCCTCTATTGTGAAGCCATTTGTAGATTAAAGGTTAGTCCTGAGTTGAGGGCAGAACACACTGAGGTGTTGCATGTTTTTGACACTTCCTTCTCTTCTTTGCGTTTTATTCTTCTAGCAGTTCTTATGTCCGGTATTACGCGCAAAAACAAATAACACCAAAACAACAACAACAAGAAAAAGCTGCTCCATGCTGTTTAATAAGCAAATTTATGCCATGCATTTTAATGATAGTTCATGGGAGGGAAGCGAGAAAGGAAATGTACGTTGCCATAGCTTGCGAAAAGAAAGGCCCCCACGATTTAATGTCTTATTTGAACATACATTTTTTGGCATGGTCTCTTTCTCTTTTTTTTTAATCTTGTTTTGATGCAAAGGATGTCTGAAATTTATTTTTGGCAAACATGGCTGCCATGATAACTAAAACAACGCCAATAAACGCATCCTATGATATTCAAAATTGAAAATTTTTACATTGCTTCTACTTGATGTATACAAGGATAAAGAAGATCTTCCCAAAAGTCCATCCAAATGGACTGGCGATAAAATGCTAGCCGCTACCTTCCACCCACCAACTAGAAGTACTGTTTTAATACCACTGGCACGTTGTCTTCACATTCCCTCCTTCAAGTGGTTAATAGGAAAAAATTAAAGATGGCTGTGTCCATTCTCCACACTTTCACTGTTGATATGGTTTCTCTCCACAGTGAAGAAGAAAAAAAATAAAATAATGCATACACAATGATGATGATAATGCACACCATTTCTGGAAAAGCTACTACTTTCCAGCATCATATTTGTCATCAAACTTTATTTTTATTTTCACCTGTGTGACTTCCACAATAGAATTAAGTAATACGCACTTATCATTCTACAGGCGAAATCATGTATTCTTTGATATAACTACACTCTGTAAAGAAAAGACTTTACGCCGAATGTGGAAAGTTCTCCATCCAATATTCTCTTAGCACTTCAGTTACTAGTCCTATTTAACGTTTACTCCAAAATCAAAGGTCTTTTAACAAATAACTATAGTCTGGCTTAGTATACTGTCTATCCCTGTATGTAACTATACCTTTGTACAAAATAAAATAAAAAAAAAGCAATGCTATCTCTTTTCAGTTTTCATATTTCAGTAGAAATAGTTTTGAGACAAGGAAAAAGTAGCTATTTTGAGGATTTTTTGCCTCAGAAGAAATGACTTCCTTACATAAGTCCCTCATCTTGTACAGCATCACCTGAGAAAATGGTGGGTGACAGATCTTCCTGTTCTTTCCTTTGTTGTTTCTCACAGCTCATGTTCAACTTCAGTTCTTCCTTGTCCTGCTCCTCCTCATGAGGTACAGACACTCCCTCTGGGATATGTTTTGATCCTAGAGTCTCTTGATCTTCTTGGTCATCTTCTGACAGCAAGGGCATTGTGAGCCATTCCTCTTCTGGTCCTAGCGTTGTTCCTTTCTCATCTGAGGAGGCACCTGTATTGTGCACTGTGCATTGTCCATCCTGTTCTTCTGGGCTTTCATCCACACAATGAATGTCCTGATTGCTGACCATCGTGCTGTCCTTCTTTTCACATGGTTCCTCAGAGCTATTCAAAAGCAAAGAGGTGAGTTTCGAAACTATGAGAGGCTGTTGTACTTCAATGCAAGGGTTGTCCTGGCAACCTTGCTCCTCCTTGTCGTAAATGCCCTCAGACCCAGAATCTCCACAGTCTAGCTTTCTTTGCTGTTCGTTCTCAAACCTGATATTGCCAAGGAGTTTGCTTAAGTCTTCCAAAACAACCGGTTCTTGATTCTCCTCTTCTTCAGTGGCCTTAGATGCAAAACGTGTGTCTTCCACCTCACAGTGCTGTTCTTTTCCTTTACTCTGATCGTACGTGTTAAGTTGTTCCAGTAAAATATGTTCTTGAGTCTCTGGGTGCTTCTGCTCTATTATGTGGATAGCAGCATCCTCAGGCGAAGAATTTATATTATCTAACATTGGAAGATTTGCCGTAACGATTGCATTCAGGGGCAATATGGTGCTTTCTGGTGCAGTGGTTTGTTGGTAAAGGTTGTAGGGTATATACTGATGGTCGTCTACCTTGATGAAAGCAATATTTGATGCAGAGCTTCTGGCAACTTGTACGTCTTTCTGGTTGCTTCCAGAGGATGTACCCTGACAGGGAATAGTAATGTCTTGTGATATAACAGAAGACTGGTCTTCCCAATCAAACAAGTTTATGTAACTGTGATCTAGGTTGTTGAGGGAAGCTTCTGTCATAGGCTGTAGGTGTTGCTGGTCTCCTTCCTCTTCCTCCTCATAGCTTTCAGACACGGTGGATAAAATACTTGGGTATTCTAGTCCTATGAATTTCTGCGCCTCATTTTGACATATCTGGTCCTCTCTGCATGCCTCTCCCTCAGACGAAGAATTCCATTGGCTCGCGGTGATTTGTTTCTCCCTATTACGAGCTGCACCCATGGTAGGTTCTTGTTGCTCTAAAAGATTTTCTTCCTCACTGTACAATACAGAGGATTGATTGAGCAATTCCTGTAAAGAAGTGACACCTTCAGAATCCATGCTGGTGCTTTGGTCTAGCAGGATCTTCTCCTGGATCGTCAATGTGCTGTCAAGTTCTAATTCTCTAGATTTCTGCAGCTCGGGTGGCATATCATGGTAGCCCTGGTCCATCTCCTTCTTACAGGGCGTGCCTTGCAGTGCTAGGTTCATGTGGTCGCCACCTTCGTTGTATTCTGTTTTGTAGGCTGCTCCCTTCATCAACACGTTTAGATCAAGTTTCCCAGGCTGCCTGTTTTCTTTGACTGACACGACCGGGTGGCTCTTCGCCTCCGATACCTTTTCTACTGAATGTGTACGTCCCGTTTCCAGAGGGGGTATTTTCAAATCGTCTAACGCCTCTTTCCGTTCACCATCTCTGGTCTGTACATTTGCATTTGCTTTGCCCTCCTGTCCTTTCTTCTCTTCCAAGAAGATGTCGCTTAAAAGGACAGGTCTGTGGGGTTCTTGAGAATTATCATCACGGGACTGGATTGGAGCCGGTTTGAGGTTGGCTATTTGTAAGCCACCCAGGTCTCCTACAGACGCCATGCTCCAACTGTCTCGATCTCTGTTCTGCTGTCGTTCTCGAAACATGATATCATCAAGAGATGGGAGGTCGGTGTTCTTTTTAGCATTTTTCCCCTTTCTCTCCTTGGGTCGCCTCCCTCCCATCCGCCTGCAGAGATAAAAAGCAGGAATTAAGGATTTGAAAGTAGCAGTGATGACAGCTGTTAATATTATTTTTTTAAAACTTCTTCCCTCAACCTTCTCTCCTATAATGTTCCCACAGTTTAGCAAATGACCTCAGTCAGTATGCCTAATTACACGTTGGTAACTGCTTAACGGTAATAGATTGCTACATTCATGTCTCTCCTTTCTTAAACTTGGCTTCTTCAGGAAGGGCCCTCTCTAAATTTTGAATGCTTCTAGATGAGATTTGTATTTCTTAGTATTGAGCCTTTTATTCAGGGAACAGATGATCTCATCTCCATTTCTACCTTCCTTATTTCTCCCACCATGTTTCGTGCTAGCGAAACATCTGTTAAGCAGCTAAAGTCAAAATAGTTGTCGAAGGCCTGTAAGTAACCTTCAGGGATGGATTTCATAAATTTTACCAAAGGGTTCTCTGCCCAGTTGCCGGATGGGCGTGGCCATGGTGGGCATGCCCTAGTCAGCCTCCTGCACCACAGCAGGGGGGGCATTTTTGCCCTCCCCAGGCTCCGGAGGCTTTCCTTGAGCCTCAGGGAGGGCAAAAATGGCCTCCCCAGGCTTCGGAGGCCCTCTGGAGGCTAGAAATGGGTCCGTTTCCAGCCTTCCCGAACTTCCAGTAGGCCCATTTTTCGCCCTCCCCAAGCGTCCACATGTGCCCTGCACTTACTTATCCAAAATGGGCCGTGTGGGGATTTCTGGGAGGGGAAGGGCAAGGTGGGCGGTGCCAGCCAGGAGTGGGATTTGGGGGTTTTCTGAACTGCACAGAATCTTAGCTACAGGTTCTCCCGAACCCCTGCGAACCCCCAGCAGCCCACCCCTGGTAACCTTCCATCTGGAATCATCTAATCAGCTGGTGCGTGAAAGAGCAATCGTGTTTGTTGGTTTTGTTTACCTTGTAGGAATACAACAACACAAGCCTGGACCCTGGAAACACCCAGTGGACTGCTGCTCTCCAACCCCATCTGGATCTTCTTCCAGCCCACTTGCACTACGTACAACCCTCTCTTCACTCATGCCCCAAGATCAAAGAGTCAAAAAAAAAAATCAAAACAACCCAATGGTGAGTCAAAGAAATATCCTGATTTTTGGTCAGGGCTACAGTCCTAGAAAAAAAAAAACCCACCACCAGATGTTCTAGCCCACTGACAGCGTAATGGCATTTACGAGGTACTCTAGTCTTTATAATAATAGTAAACGGAGGTCTCCAAGGGACATCTCTATGACATCATCAGTTCTGGAAAGTTGTGGAGTCACCATGGCAGCATGGCAGAGATTAAATATGTGTGCCATGGAATGGACAATAACAATTTGCTTGCTTGGAAGGTTCCTAATGTTGCATTGTGGCCGTATGATCTTGACGCTATTTGGAAGGGTGGACATTGTCTGCCAAAACTGCTTTTCGGGACTTCTCCTACTGTGAGATTGGATGTTGTTCCTGGGTGCTCAGTGTGTTTTGTTTTGTTTTGCTGTTGTTTAGGATTTTTTAAAATTTATTTTAATGCTGAATATTTATGATTTTGATAAGCCTCCTTGAGCCTGGCTGAGTGGAGCAGCGTATAAATAAATAGAAGAAGTAGCCATCACTTCTTCTGAAAACTGGCAGAGATAAGAACAAACTTTCAAAGCAATGTATTCACATCTAAATGATGGGATTGTTTTAATCCAGTGTGGGAGAAGCAGTGTGGTGTAGTACAGGTATTCCTCGATTTACAACAGTTCATTTAGTGACTGTTCAAAGAGTGGCGCTGTGGCCTAGAGATGGAGCTCTTGCCTCACAATCAGGAGGCTGTGAGTTCGATCCTAGGTAGAGGCACATATTTCTCTCTATGGGCACGTTGTGAATATATATGCTGAATATAACTCTGCATTGGTGACAGGAAAGGCATCCAGCCAGTAAACACTCAGCTCCATTCAGTTGCCCAGACTCCACCCAGCAAGGGATTATTAGTTTGATTTAGTTTATTAGTTTGATTTATATGCTGCCCTTCTCCGGAGACTCAGGGCGGCTTACAATGCTTTTAAGCAATAGCCTTCATACTTTTGTATATACCTGCTTAGTAGGGCTTTTGCCCCCCCCACAAGCAGTGTTCTATTTTATACAAAGTCAGCTTATTGCCCCCACAAACCGGGTCCTCATTTTACCTACCTCAGAAGGATGGAAGGCTGAGTCAACCTTGAGCCTGTTGAGAATTGAACTCCAGTAATTGCAGGCAGCTGGCAGCTAAATACTACTTTAACAGTAGTTTAGTCCATTGCACCACCAGGCTCCTAGTGGGATTATGGGGTCGTTAAAAGATGTTGATTTAGTGATTGTTCAAAGTTACAATGGCATTGATAAAATGACTTATGACCATTTTTCACACTTACGACCATCATCATATGATCAAAATTTAGATGCTTGGCAACTGACTCATATTTATGTCGGTTGCAGTGTCCCAGAGTCATTTGTGGCCCCCTTGGCAAGCAAATTCAATGGGGAAGCCAAATTCACTCAAGAACTATGCTACTAACTTAACAACTGCAGTGATTAACTTAACAAATGTGGCAAGAAAGGTTGTAAAATGGGGCTAAACTCACTTAACGAATGTCTCACTTAACAACATAAATTTTGGGCTCATAAATCGAGCCCAGTAGTTGAGGTATCAGGTTTCGTTCAGAAAGACTCATGCTTAAGTCCATCATCATCCATAGAAAAATTAACCCATTACCTGTGCGTGAGTTGAATGGCCATGTAATTTGTTTCATAAATAAAAGAAATAAATCAAGAAGGGTTGTTGAAGGGGAAACTTAAAAGAGACAGTTGTTTTGAAGATAGATGGGATATAACTCTAATTAACAAGTAACAGTTTGAGGACGGATGTTTCACCCATAATATGCTTTTTAAATTATCTCTTTTGAATGGTTTCCACAGCCACTGACTAAGAACCCATTGCGTTAGCATGTCCGATTTTCCATTTAGAATCTGAAAGAGAAATACTGCAGAACTACTTACATTTCGTCCTTAATCTGAAGAAGTTATATGACTTGTATTAAACCTTAAACCATTGTGCAGCTTGTCCTTGCTGGCATATTTCATTAACAAAATTAACCATTTCTATGTGATTTGTTCTGCTGAAAATTGTAAAGGGATAAAACTTCAAACCTCACTTTAGTATTTGATCAGTCTTTGGCTGTAAATGCAAGAACAATCTTTCTCTGAGAAAATTGGTCTGTTGGATTTTTTTATTTTTTTTTATTTTGGGGACTTTCAGAAAGAAATATCTTATAGTTTTACAGCTGCTTTCTTAGACGATAGCGCACATACAGTAAATGAAAACCCAAATGTGTTGAACTGGCTCTAAACTGGGTTTATTCTCCCACGACATAATCTTCTGGGGTTTAATAAAGTTTAAAATACAAGCCTGCACAAATTATATAATCTGCCCCCTTTCTTTTAGTAAACTTTTAATAAACTGGCTTTCACAAGCAAAACAGAAAATTGAGATTTTAGGTGAGAATTTCCATGCCAAGAGCCCAGAAATCAATTTTAATTGATATAATGCCTTATCTTCTGTTCATGTAATATTCTTATGGAAATGCTCTCTCTAGGAAATGTGTCAAAATGAAATTCACTATCAAATCAATCTATTGGGGATTTCGCTGGGGTTAAATTGAGAATGACATTATAATGAAATTTAGTTGAGTTTTAGTCTATATTCATGGAGTATGAGTTTTAAAAGACCTACATGGTTTATAAACACATGGAACGAAATAATAACTGTCCTCCAGTGGTGGGTTTCAATTTTTTTTACTACCAGTTCTGTGGGTGTGGCTTGGTGGGCATGGCATGGCTTGGTGGGCGTGGCTTGGTGGGCATGGCAGGGGAAGAATACTGTAAAATCTCCATTCCCACCCCACTCCGGGGAAAGGATACTGCAAAATCCCCATTTCCTCCCAATCAGCTGGGACTCGGGAGGCAGAGAATAGATGGGGGCAGGGCCAGTCAGAATTTTTACTACCGGTTCTCCAAACTACTTAAAGTTTCCGCTACCAGTTCTCCAGAACTGGTCAGAACCTGCTGAAACCCACCTCTGCTGTCCTCATCAAAAGATAAGTGGTTTCCACTTTTTTTTCATCCAAGGGGTTATTCACATAATTTTATAGCAGGCAGGCTATAAAATTAGGATCTGTCCTGTTCATAACTTTTGTCCCTTCTTCTTCCTTTGAAGCTCTTTCAAACGAGTTGGTCCAGCTGCTCTTTTGGCCTTCAATCTAGAGCTCCAGAGTTATTTCTAGCTAGTTATTCAGAAGTTCCTTAGAGGTTTGTGCGACCGATGCAAAATATTTATATTTAATAGCTGTATCATTGCATCACGGTGGAATCTATTTATTGACACTGTTAGTGTTGGATGTCTCTGGAGATTCTCAATCATCCAGGTCATGGTTGTCCCAAAAGTGCTTTTCTCCAAAAGGCAACCGGACTTTCTTGATTTCTTTTTTCTTCAAAAATGCTTCTTTTATCAAAGAAAAAGAAAAAAAAAACACCAAGAAAATTTGGAGAAAAGCACCATTGGGACAACCATGACGTGGATGATTGAGACTCTCCAGAGACATTCACTGCTCAGTGACTAAGACGCTGAGCTTGTCGATCAAAAGTTCGGCAGTTCAGTGGTTTGAATCCTTAGTGCCGCGTCCCAGCTTCTGCCAACCTAGCAGTTCAAAAGCATGTAAAAAATGCAAGTAGAAAAATAGGGACCACCTTTGGTGGGAAGGTAACAGCGTTCTGTGCGCCTTTGGCGTTTAGTCATGCCAGCCACATGACCATGGAGACGTCTTCGGACAGCGCTGGCTCTTCGGCTTTGAAAGGGAGATGAGCATCACCCCCTAGAGTGAGGAACGACTAGCAACATATGTGTGAGGGGAACCTTTACCTTTACCTTTATGTTAAGTCAATGGAGAGTTTGGCAAAGGATGGCAGAGTTTAGCAAAGAATCCAGATGGATGGGTTGATGGGATTCTGGGATAACGAATCAGCATAGATTTTCTCCTGAATTCTTTGTTTTATTTTTAATCCAAAAACTGACAATAAGAAGGTTACTCTACTGCTCATTAAATACAGTAACTGGGACATTTGTTTTCAAGTCAACATTAAAGTGTAGAGCAATTCTTCCTGTGGCTTTCTCCCTTAAGTGATGGGAGAAGGGTTGGGTAGTTAAAAGGAAGATTGGAGGGAAGAGGAATGAAAGAATGAATGGAATTTCAAAAAGAGCGGAATAAAATAAACAACTGTCAACACTGAGTACTAACGAAAAAGGGCAATATAGAGAATAATAAAAGTTTTGAGTAGGTAGACTCTACTCAAGCAGGAAGTAGCTGGCTCAGTGTTTCTTAAACTTGCAGTTTTGGGGAATTCTGGGAGTTGAAGTCCACACATTTTAAAGGTGCCAGGGTTGAGAAGTACTGAGTTAGATCAACACTATGGTGTGTATACATATAGTATCAGCAGTGTTAATAGAGACCAGTGATGCTGCAATCGGTACCGTTCTGCATAAGACGCTGATGGCTGCCTTAATTAATCAATCAGAATAGAGCTGGAAGGGACCTTAGAGGTCTGCTAGTCCAACCCCCTGCTCAAACAGGAGAATCTATACCATTTCAGACAGGTGCCTGTCCAGTCTTTTCTTAAATGGTATTAACTTAGCTTTAATGTTATTAAGTTAGTTATCCTTTTGCCCCTGTATCATCTGGAGACACACAATGGTTACACCACTCTTTAGCATCAATGGAACAAGCTATGCTGTCTTCCAGTTGATGAATAGGGCTGTTCACGGCAGTCTGCCTGGTGATGTTGATTGGGGAGGGGGGGTCCCATTGACTCTGTTTCAATTGAACATACGAATGGAACAAATTATTGCTGGACTAATAAATATATAAGTAGTCTTGGCTTACCCGTTGGGTGCTCGCTTGGTGTTTCGATGGGGAAACTGAGTTTTAAGTTACATTAACTCAAAGCTAAAATTTAAACACATGTGTTTGGTGGATGACATACATTTGTCCAGAAAATAAGCAAACTAAAGCCAG